TGCTAAATTTAAAAACTCTCTTCAGAAAGTGTAGCTGTATTAAAACAGTTCAAAGTGTATGTTATCAACACTCTTAATGTAAGCAAATACACTTGTTTTTAATCCAGTCATTTTCAAAAATGGTCAAAGTAGTTCAGCTGACAYTTTACAAAAATAACAGTCAGAAATTTTCTGATATAGAAATTTTAGCTGAAGTCATTGGAGCTTGACACTGCAGAATTCAAGTGGAAATAAATATTAATGCTTTTAAATAGTAAATATAAGAAGTGTAAATAGGATGTGGTAGGAAGTGTGACAARCTTGAAAATGTAGCAATAAGCTCTTGCTCCAAGTGTAGATCCTAAATGCCAGAATAAGAATTTGTTACTTAAGTTAAAGGTACTCCTCTTTTATTGTGACCTTTTCTAAGCAGCCCATAACTGGTGTATTGTTATGCATGTTCTGACAGAGTGCTCCTACTGCAATGAAGTACAGATGCTCTTCAGGTGTTGAATAAAGTATTTACTATTTCCATATTTAGATACAGGACAATTTTTCAATGACATGCCTTGTAATTGCTTAATCAGAAAGGTTATATAAAATAGTTTTAGCAGTAGGGGGGTTTCTGATTAACTGATAATGGAGCAAACCCATATCACAGACTATTTTGATTATTTTGCCTTGATTACCAAATATCAGTCTGAACTTTTCCAAGAAACATATCCAAGTTTCTAAGTCTGATATTTATCCAGGGTAGAGAAATGTTGTAAGAAATGGCAGTATTAGSCTTTTTATACTGTTGTTRCAASCTGTCCCTGAGGGTGAGAGTAAACTGAGGTTCTTATTAACAGATCCCTTGGGGCAGATTAGAGTGAAATGACAATGAATGACCCATGTTCACATACACATACGTATCACCACCTGTGGATCTACTGATGAGCTTTGATTGCTGCCTGGTTGAAGTGATGGTCACAGTTTTGGTCTGTCAGGGGTTGGGGAAAGCCTCTGATATGTTTAGTTCAGTGGGTTGATATACGTTCAGGTGAGAATTCCCAGGTACTTCTCTTGGGGTGGAAGTTTAACACTGTCACAACACTGTGGATTATGCTCACTCCTTGAGTGGAAGGCCCCAGAACCGAGTTTGGGGTGCTTTGGGGATCTTTGATGGCTTATGACACCTTCTAAGACATTACAACTTCTAAGACAATTACAACATTGTAATGTCAGCTTGGTTTAGCCAGTTATGCCCCATCAGAAAGGGTGAACACCTTCAGGCCTGTGTCTGAATGTCCTGGTACTTCCCCAGGACCGGAATTTTTTGCCTGAGCAAGTTGCGTAAAGTGAGGACATTGGCAGATAAAAAGTGTTATCCCACCTGGCAAGATTTGCTYCTTACCAGCCTCTTCCCATTTTTGGCTCAAAATTCAGCTTGTTGCTCAACAGACTGCTTTGTCGTGGTCCTCCTCTAGCTCTCACCCCCTCTGCAGGTTTGGCTGTTCTTTGGTTTCAACACCACACATCCACAAATCTCCTCCTCCCCTTCAGCTGGGGGATGCAAACCTGGCCTCAGCAAAGCACCTGCTGCTTTTGCAAATGGCCAATTGTTTGAGTCATTAACCATTTCAGTCTCTCGCAACTGCCTTGCGAATTTATTTCATCCCTGTTACAGAAGATCATTCCACTTGTCAGAAAATTGACAAATGCTTGAAATTGTGGAAACATTGCCAACATAAAAGGTGTATGTGTTCTCCAAGTACAATTTTGTTTTGTCTTTCCTACACCTATAGGCTGTATATTTTGCCATCCTGTAATACCATAGCAAGACAGGTCAGCCTTTAATCATGATTGATGTTTTGTTTATATTGTAAAGTTGAGACTTTAGCTATACATTTCGAAGCATATGGAAGAAAAAAAAAACAAAAAAAACCCCAAAAACCCCAAACCCTTTCCTGTAGAATAATCCATTCACTTTCCKGTTCCAACAAAACCAGTGTTGCAAAGAAGAGGCAGACCTCAAACTTATTTTTGGTCATCTCTTATTAAAAGCTGGGAAAAGTCTAAATCATTTCCTCTGGGAGAGAGAGAAAATATACATGACAGCAGCCTCTGATTCAGTTCCTTACAGTTTAAATGTGGCAAAATTGTCATTAAGTGTGTATTTGTTTAGCAATCTAAAATTTACTTACATTGTGGAAGAAATTAGAATGGCCATGAGAGTAGTTCATTACTCTTCTGAATGGATTCTTCTACTGTTTGCTGCTGCATTGATTAGCAGATGAACTTTACGTCTTTTAAACAGGAATGCAAGTGGAAGATGTGAACCGAGAGGTTGAGTTTTTTATTATCATTAGAAAAATTGTAATATTTGCTAGGATAATAAGACTTGTCTTACTTATGGAAATTTCAGTATAATTGCTCTGAAGTTCTTTGTCAAACTCTGTTTTATATCTCTATAAAAAGTTCTAATACAATTCTCTGTTCAGTAACAGGTATCATGCATTTGAATAAATCCATGGAATTTAATCTATTTCATGGCTTGTAAAGGAAATTGGTAAMTTGTTTTAAAGTGAAGCATAAAATTATGTGTATCTACATCTATCTTTGTGTTTGAAAAGCTGTCAAATAAGTTGTCTTTCTGTGCCTAAAAACAGAGACCTAGTCAACTCAAGAATGGAGGACAGGCTCACAATGCATTTTTCRACCTGATAGAATCTTATAGGTTATATTGCAATTAAAAGAAATCAAAACCTCTCCTGTTATATTTAGTTAATCTTCTGTCATATGATTCTACAAGGCTTAGATTTATAGATCTGAATTTTCTAGTAATCCTTGAGTACATTGACAGTGCTGGGGTTTGTGTGGCTGAAGTCAAAATACCTGAATTTGASACAATGTATTCTGAATGACTTAAAAAATGTATGTCTATTTTAACTTTCTGTAAGTCAAAGAGTTTATTATTTAGAGTACTAATAAGTAAATCAATTTAAAGCAGTCTTTTAAATAAAGAAAARTAGAATATTCTTCATTTGGGGTAAAAGTAACTGAATATCAAAAGGAAAAGCTATCAAAAGAGCAGACACAAAGGCTTTTTATCTTAATATTAGGATCAAAAGAAATGACAAAATTTATTTATGAATAATTATATCAAGGTTTTCTTGTTGTTTTTTTTTTGTTTTGGTTGAGGTTTTTTGTTTGGTTGGTGTTTTTGTTGGGGTTTTGTGGTTTGTCTTGGCAGGAGTTTGTTTGTTTGGGGGGCTTTGTTTGGTATGGGGCTGTTTTGGTTTGGGKTTTGTTTGGTTTTTTTGATTATTCATCATCCYGCTAAAAAGCAGCGGCAAAATAGCTGCATCCAGATTTTCCAAAGGCACCCAATGGAAATTCAGAGCTTAGTTCACATTTCTTTTGGAAACAAAAGGTTTCTAAGTTTCTTCCTGTACATTGGCATAAGTAGAGCACTTGATCCCTGGTCAGTATGGCAGTGTGCTAACTAAGCTGCAGGTACAGAAGGAACATGTGTCAGATCATTTCCATTCATAGACTCAAGAAATCTGGACCTAAATCTGGCCTGAGCCCTTCCAGTCGTTGCAGCTCCTTCAAGAGTAATGCCATTTATCTGAGAGCAGACCTTCAAAAATAGTTTCCAAACACTTTCCAATTTTCTGTGTAAAAACCTTTGGAAATTCCTGTAAATTTTTTCTTTGGAAGTGTGTCATTTCCATACTCTTCCCAAGTTTGTGTAGCCTGCCAGGTTGGACATCTTTACACTCCTCTAATACTACACCAGGAATTGCTAGCTCTTGTATGAACAGGTTTCTGGAAATGCAATACMTCTTCTCACTTTGTGATTTTAAGAGTTATAAGGTAGATTTTAGCAATAACTAAGTAGTCTTTTATATGTCATTTAAAATAATTATAGGTAGGATTTGTACTTTTGACATGTTTTACAGTCATCTACATTTATGTTTCATTATTCTTCACTTCTAGCTCTTAAAAACTCAGTCATTTTCAAGTTAGAAGCACAATGTGTTGTGCCTGTGTCAGAGAGTAGTTTATACAAGTGGAGAAACTGTGTTCATATCTGATTCCTAAGTGTGAATAATGAATTCTAATTCAGTGTCTTTTGTTGTGGTTATTTGGCTTCTTTTTTTTTTTTTGTTACAGAATAATAATTACTCATGAGAGTTCAAAAAAAGTACACATACTTATTTGAAATGGTGCTGTTGGCGTCCTGATTGTATTTAACAGTATGCAATAAATCTGGTAAAACAGAAGTGCAGTCTTTATGTATTTAAAAAGAAAAAAAGTGTAAATTCTGCCTGCTGTCATGATAAACTAAGCAATTTACTAGCATTAAATCCAGTTTTATTTTCCTGTAGAACCTGTTAATGAACTCCAAGATGCAGGTCTCATTGCCCATTTAAAATGTGTCTGTGAGTGAATTACCTGGTAATACAATTCTCCTACTGCAAAATATCTAAAGAYTGTTAGATCTGGAATTTTTATTTTCTTCTAGCATCTCATCTGTCATCATGCACTATGGGCATTTGCCTTTAGTTTTAACTAGCTTAAAGCAAGCTGCATTTTTTTTTCTTGGCTCTTCTTCATGATGGGATTGCCCTGCTTGCACATTCTGCAACTCTGCAGGATAAAGATGTTAACTGTGAATCAGAAATCGTATAGTAGGTGTAAGACATGAAATAAAATCAATACATTTTTCTGAGGCATGTCACTGGTTAAGTGACAAAAAATATTCTGATACTCACTGAAAAAGAAAAGTCAAAGGTACATTTGAACCTGTCAGTTCAACACATTCCTGTTATCCCTTTAGGGGATATCATCCAACTTGACACCAACATTTAAGCTTTGAAAATTATGAGCTCATCTATTTCAAATGGGATGTCACATGTTCCCAAGCCTTTGCCATTACTTATAGTGGAAGACAGGATGATCACTTTTGTCACATATTGATAGTGAATAAGATCTTTCTTTTTTTTTTCTTTTCTTTTTTTTTCTTGTTTCAGAATGAAGAACAAATTTTGGTATTTTGAATTTGGCACTTCGGAAACTTTCTCAGCCACCTGTAAGAAGCTGCATGAATCTGTAGAAATAGAAGTAAGAAATTAATTGTTGCCTTTATCCTTGAAATATCACTATTGGCTGAAATGCAGGGAGCAAGGGTGCAGAGTGCCTGAATCCAACAAGGCAAAGCAGTGCACATCCTTTCGACCTTATATTCCAAAATATTATTTTTATCGTGTCTATTTGTAGTGTAGCCCTGCACACTGGAACAAAGTTCAGTTTGATGATTAGTGAAGTCTTAATACAGTAGACAAGGTCAAGAGGTGAAGTATAACATTAGAAATCAATAGGGAGTGTGGCTAGGTCAGATGGAAAAATGAAAGACTGTTGGAGGGAGTGAGAGCTGCTGCAGGATTAAAATAAAAAAATATAATCTTATTATTTCTAGGTCCCAAGGTTTTATAACCTTTAAAACTCAATTCCCTAAAATTGTACTTACTTTCCTGAATAAAGGTTAAAGAATATATATATATATTTTGAATTATTCCCCTTCATTAAATAGCTTTTCTCTCTGCACAAGGGGTCATCTTTCCATTATACATTGAACATTAACTGAAAAGACACAGGATACTTACAGACAAAATAGGAATTTAAAATAATGTGCCACTGCCACTTTGATGGCTGCAAGAATAAGTGGCTATATTACATAGACTGTTTGGAGGTCAGATGTTTATAAATAAGTACATGAAAAATGAGAAATGAGTGAAGATACAAACCTGAGAATTTAGGTTAAATAATTAAATCATTTCTCAAGAAGATTATTGTGCTTTTCCTTTCCAGTAGTAATGAGGAACTGCATGTGTAAATGAAGTATTTGTAGGGTAGCACGAGGCACTCAGAGAGGTTTGGTGGGAGCTGTGAGAGTCCAGTCAAAGCCTCCTGAAAGGTGAAGTCTGAAATGATCTGAAGGGAGCAGATCCCCATGTGCCTGGGAGCAGAACAGAAGCAAAGAATACAGAGACTGAAACTGTAAGACCAGCAGTGCCACACTTGCCTGTTRTGCTGTTATGTTTCCYTYTGAAGTGAAAACATKCTTCTCACATGCTAGATTAAAATAYAAKAAAAATGAAACAAAACAACAGCAAAAACCTTAGGAGAAAAAACTTAACAAAAAAAATCCCCGTTGCTTACCAAGAGAGTGCTTCACACGCATGAGTTCAAGGAAATGCAGCATGAAGAATATTTTATTAGTTATTGGAAGAAATTCTTACCTGGTTTGATTAGATTTGAATGTACTGCAAGTTAAATGTACCTTTTGATTAAATACAAATTGAAGAGCAGTCTTTCTCAGTAAAATATTAATATCTAGAGAAAATCATACATAACCTGATACAAACTAAAATGTGAACTTTAACCCTATAACTGTAGCCTTTGAAAGGATGATTAAATGTTAACCTCACAAAGCAAACAAGTAGGTATACAAGTTTGTGGTGCTGCTGCTATCAGTTGTRTAATTATTACCAATTCATGTCAATAACTATTATTACCAATAAGTGTTAYATTGCCAGTAAATGAGACACATTTGTTAATATTCACTTCATCTATCCTGCCCATTAGCATTAGTCCTTCAATTAGGAAAAAAAGCATAATTTCCAAAAGTTTACAAGAAGTTTTAGGAGTCAGTTATTTACATATTTATATACAATGAGTAAATTACAATGCCTGCCAATATGCTTGTATCTATATTTCTTGTTTGAACGTTATCAGCATTTTGGAGTAGCACTGTTTTAATCTGATTTTTGACCTGATGCCCCTTGGGGATGTCACTGTAAGTGGGAGGGTGATGTATGAGACCACATTTCACTCCAAATAAAATTCACAAAGAATGTGTTTGCTCTACAGCCAAATTTTGAATGAACAAAGCCTGGGAAGATTAAGGATCTGTATCTCTGAGCTGTGAGACAGTGATCAAATGTTCTCTGGGCAAATATTTGTTCAACCTTGTATTTGATTTGTAACCTAATTAAGCTTGGTTTTCCTGACATACATTCTTTATTCATGTTCTGTATGTTTCCTTCTGTGTGAGTGTGAGATGCAGAACAGAGTTGGACACAATTCTTGTCCAGAATGAGATATATTTTCATTTTCAAATGGGATGCTTGGAATTTGAGGGGACGAACATAGGTTTTAAAGGGAAAGAAACCAAAATGAAACAAACACACAAAAACTAGGACTGAATTATTTMTTTTCAATAATAATGTGTCAGTAAACAAGGCTGAAAATTTTACAGTTTAGAGAATTTGCACCTTGTTTCCACTTCAGAAAAAGAAAAAGGTGTATGAAAGGTATTTAATGAGAGTAGGTAGAGATGTGGTGTTAGCAGGGATGGCAGGGACCATACCTGCCATGCTGTGAAAGCACGGTGGGAGCTGTTTAAGCCTTCTGCACTATTTGGTATTAATGGGTAAGGGACAGGAGTTAAAAACAGTCCCATACACTTGTTTGAAATTGCTCTTGTTTACAGAGGAAAGCCTTAATCTCAGCTCTTTTCAGGCATACATTCAGATATGTATGTTCTGAATGGAAAGAGGATATGAAARTATTTGATATGATAAATAAGGTATAAACAATATTACTCAATAAGTGACTGAGGCCAGGAAAGAAGGTAAAAAAGAGTTAGAAGGGAGTGTCTTTTTTTTTAATCTAGGCAGGCACACTCTGCATTTTAAAAGTATRCTTTTGTTTTTAACGGCACTATTACATTATTGGAATTGAAAAGAAAAAAGAAAAGGAGCAGAACACATATGTGTTTTGTTTTTGTAATATATGAATGTGCTAGGACTATGCAGAGCTACCTGTGGGGCAAACTTCTTGTCTGTGTATGAACAAAAGAAATGCTCCTTTCCTAATTCTGAAAGTTGCTCATCACTGTGGGACTCTGAGGCCTCGTCACATAATTGTCTTAGTGTACTACCTGCTGTGCTCAATATTGAGTGAAAATGGAAGCTAGACCCCGCACCATCCTATTTCACAATTCTTCTTTTATTTAAATAATTCCAGTCGGTTTGGGGGACGCCAGACCTTTATAAATTAACAGCAGGGAAATACCAAAGGTGTCAGATTGCATATTTATCATCTTTCTCGTGTAATACTTAAATATGTATTAAGAAGTGACTGACATAAATTAGGCAGATTTCAGAAGCCACAGGCCGTGGCTTGTAGAGGACCCCCTTCTGCTTGACATTTCATCCTTGTCAAAGATCAAATTATTTTAATTTAGGCTGCAAATTATAAGAAATGAAGACTTCTTTGTGGGAATTCCCTGTGGTAATCTGACTTTTGTTGTTACTGCTGCTTGTCAGTGTGCAAAAGATATAATATGCATGCAAATAAGGTTAAAAAATATGTACTATCTAATTATCCAGCCAGTACATTCCACTTGAAGACAGTGGGAGGCCTGACACACAGTATGTGTTTGATTCATTGAGGCCTGCAGGGTATTTACACAAGATTACTTTTAATTATGAAATTAATATCTGTTTATCTAGAATGTATAGCAGTAAGTGAGCATACACATGAGCAGAATTTTTAGCAAAATAAATCATCYTAGTATTTAATACATATAAAATACAGGGAAAACCACAAATTTGCTTCCAAAAATCACAGTGAAGGCCTATGCCTTTATTCTTGTAAGAAAAGTGTTACTAAAAAATTACACTTTCAATTACAGTAGTTGCCACTACTGCCAACTCATTTTCAGATGTGCCTTTTGACTTTAAAGGTTTCCCTGTATGAATGTAATCCACAGGTTTAAAATTTAATTCTTGAAGAGCAAATATGAAATGGAAATCTTAGTGTTGAAATTGTTCTCTCTCCAGATTTATGTTCTTCTTAGAAGAATTAAGGAGATGTGTGTGCATTATAATAYAGTTCTGTTTTGTGATCTCAGAAAGTTTCAGAATAAACAATTATTCACAGTAATTCTTGAGTTTTACTTGGCTTTTCTTCTTCAAAGCTGTGATAAAGGTTTAGGCAGAGAGGAAGAAGTGCCAGTGACCCAYAGAGCAGCAAGCTGCAAGATGTCAGTGGACTATTACTGAAGCATGCTTAATTATTTTTCCAGTTTTCTTCCTCATTATTGTATACTGGAATTAGAAAATAATGCCCTTAATCATTTTGAAATGGATGACTGGATCCTCTGCTAGCTTGCGGAACATTCAGGAGTAGGATCTAAAGTTTTAAAAATGCTGCTGTGCACTGTGGTGCGTGCGACTTGCCAGGATTTCAATCATACATTGTGAGGAGTGAAGCTGATCTSTCTCCAGCCAAGGTGCAAATACATGAAACCTGGGGAACTCTGGCTGCTTCAGTGAACTAATGAGTACAATTGGGTGCTTTGCCTTCCCCTGGCTGGTTCCACAAGAGTAATACGGAGTTGGGCTTTTTTCTCCTCCTGTGGAGGTTCTTCACTATTTTGCTAGATTTTATATGAGTTAAGCACTTTCTAATGCTGGTAGAGCAGAAGACTTAGCTTGATTCAATTACAGCCAGTTAAGGCTAGGTGTATGCTATCAAGCTAAATTTCTCTCATCAATGTGTCTCAGGTGAGCTCTGTTTGCAAATGTTGTGGGCTTCAGCCACCTGAAAAAATGCTGCAGTTTGTCATAGAGCAGGCTGATATGTTGAGATCCCTGAGCCATTCTCCAGAAGGGAGAAATATGGTCCCTTTGTAGGATATAATTGGAAGCCAGATTTRRCAAAGAAATGTACTTGTATGAAATGCCTCAGTGTCCAGGTTTGCTATAGGAAGCATGGGAAATGCCCACCAGTGGCACAGGATGCCCTGTGGCTATGATTCCATCACTGAAGGCACTGTCCCACAGATGAAAGTTACTTCTGTGTGTCCAGTAAGCCCTAAAAAGGGTTTTAGATTACTGATACCTTTTCTTCAGCTCCATCTCYTGTGGGTTCCCTTAGCACTGATGCATATTTCAGAGAACTGGTGGGAGAAGGTTCTGAGCTAAGCAATGCTGTAGCTGCATCAGCATTTGCTGGACCCACTTCTACTAATTTTATCTCTTGCCAGGAGTTACCAGTCAGGCATAGCCCAATGCTGATAATCTTSTTGTGCCTTTGGATTGCAGCTAATACCTGTGTGATATTCTGTGCTCTTCAGGCTTGCTTAGACCCTTTTTCATAAGTCTGTGTACTCTCTGCATGCAGGGACTTTTGTATTCAGTTTGTTGTGGAGGGGACTCCTTTGTTAGAGTGACAAGTATCATTGCAAAATCACAAGACAGACAATTTGTCTGGAAAAATCAACAAAACCCCTCCAGCTGTTGATATAGAAATTTTGGTAGGATGAATGTTTTTCTGCTAATAGCTGTRGTGGAGTTAGAAGTATATTTCACTTGGGTCACTGAACAGGTATCAGATAACAAGACACTACCACATTGTCCCACACTTAGGCAATCAAAAGATGAATAGCAATAGTATTTTACCTTCYGAAGGATCTGTTCTTATCTCTTACTTCCTTTTCAGATACAAGCATATRTCTTAGGTGTAAATATTGAATAAACTATTAGCAGTGTTAAGAATGATAAATTGCCAAAAGAAAAATATCTGAGAAGTAGAACATCCAGACTTTTCTTTCTCTCTTACTGCTTTCTCTCTCTTTTTCTTTTTTTTTTTTTTTCTTTTTTTTCTTCCTTTCTAATCAGTGTGATGGAATTCAGCTGGACCTAATCAATATCTCTCTGGAAGGAATTGCCATTTTAAACATCCCAAGCATGCACGGTGGATCGAATCTTTGGGGAGAGACAAAGAAGAGACGTAGCCACCGTCGGACAGAAAAGAAGAGGTCAGATAAAAGAACCACTGTTACAGATGCCAAGGAATTGAAGTTTGTATGCCAAGGTAAGCTTACAGATTGATATAGGCTATCTCTCTYCATAATGTCAACTTGGTTGTGTAATTGACCTTCTCAAGAGAAAGGACAGGCAGTTCTTAGATATTTCCTTTCTTGTGAATTTTCTGATGGAAAGCATTGGCACAAAGGCATAAACACWGACTGCCAATTGCAGTGTCTGTACTTGCAAACCTGCCTCAGATATTACCTGTTAAGCAGACTAATGCGGCACAGTCTGCTACTGTGATGTTCAGTCTAGAAAGAGTTGGAGATTTTGGAGTTGGAAAGTGCTTCCTGAGCATTTACAATGATTCTTAACGCCAGTGTGCATAAAACTTGGGGATAATTGTGCCCTGTGTCTAATAAGCTTTGGGCAGAGGCGTTGGAAATTACTTCAGAGTAAAAAGAGCAAGTTGGCCTTACATTTCATGTTACTAAGTTGTAATGCTCTGTCAGTCCTTGAATATATATGCTGTAGTTGGCTTGCACAGGCATGATCATTTTTGCAGTGTTCATATACTTTCCTGGTGATTAGATGCATTTACTCAGTAAACTTTATCATTAAATATAACTCTTAACAAAACCAGCCATAAATAATAATGTCTATTCTTCTCCAAGAATCTGAATACTATGCAGTGTAACACATCACTGTGCATCACAAGTCCGTGTGATTATAAGCCATTGCTCTCTTCACACCAAAGGAATGAACAGACCAGACTTTGAAAATGGTTTTGCGGTGGCTTTTTTGTTTGTTTGTTTTTCTCTTTTAACCCTAGAAAAATTATGATGTTTTGCTTCAGAGTRTCTTCTTGCTTCTCCTCTTTGTTCAGAGTGAATAAAGATCAGGACTTTAACTGTTGGGATCCTTTTACTAGTTTTTGATATCCTATTTTTACATTTCATCAGCAGTAATTTTTGAGTCATTATTTATCACATAGTTCCTTATTATGTGTTGTAGTTTTAATTCAGCTAAATTAACTGAATGACAAATTTTTTTTAGGAATGAAATAGTCTTTTTTGGCTTAGAGGCTGAAATAGGTACTAGCATTCMGTTTCTGTGAGTTTTAGCAATTTGACATATGTTCTCAGTATCTCAGTGTGACTCACCAACACACCCTGTCAGCCAAATTCTTACCAGGCACTGACTTMTGCCTGCACTAAAAATCTGTATTATGTCCTGATGTTCAAGACATGGAGGTTGCTGGGTTGAGGGCTCACCAATATATTTCCTTTTGTTTTGCTCCTGAACATAGAGAGATGGGACATTTATCCTTTTGATAGTCATGAAGCAGACATTATCACTTCTTTAATTATTGAAATTATGTGYGTCTTGATACATATGTAACAGTGATTTCAATCTGCTGACTATAATTGGTGTATTAAAAGGGCATTGCTACACTCAATTCCCATTTTCCCGGACAGGGTAAAATAAAATTATAATAAAAATATTAAAGACTGAACAGAAGTTCCTATGTTATCTGTGGAAGTGTTCATRATATGGACATTAAGCACCTTGCTTTAGAAAAACTGCTCTCATTACTTAGTTTCTAATCACTTTATATGCACCGTGGATGGAAGTAGCTTCATCCAAAAGGCAATTTGAAAGCAGAGATTGACTTCTCAATATCAAAAAATCTCACATCACTGAGAACATAGATAGTATTACTGTTTGCATCTACAGCGTGCCGAGGATTTTGGAGAGGTCCATATTTATTTTGTTCCAATTTGCAAAACTTTGCGGTCTTGAGCATGCAAAGTGGATTCCTTTTAAAGGTGAGGGGTGTGTGGGGATGGGATGTACAAGCTTTGAGTGCAAGTGGGTCTTTAGTCCATAAAACCAGTTTAAAACAACTCAAGGTAAAACTCAAAAATGAAGTTGGTGTGAACATTTCAGAACCAACTGATCTGCATTATGGATCCGCTCCTATTTTATACTGCAAAGAACAGTCAATTCTGCTAGCTAAGATAGGTTCTTAGGCTGAGTGTGCTTCTTCAACTCAGAATTCAAAATTATGGCTGAATAATGAAATTAAGTAAATTTTACATYGAGGCTTTCAAATAGTTTTGATAAATTTGAATGTATTCACTGACTGTCACTTGAAAGAGTTACAGTTTTGTCACTAGCTGATTGTTTTGTTAGGCATTGTGTATTTTTGGCACATTGCACTGTTTAGGTTGAAGAAAACATTTTGCAAACTATAAATACCTGGTGCAGAGATAGGTATTGCTGGATTGAGAACCATGATCGATACATACCTGCTTGTTAAATTCTGTTTGTTAATTTGATCTGAATAAACCTCCTTGAAGGCTTTTTTAGGTCCAAATAAAGCATCTACTCGCTTGACAGCTAAATGCTGCACTTCCTAGGAGGCAGGACTCAATCTTCATGTTTTTCCTACATATATATATATATACACCTGTTTTTGATGTTGAATTTTCTTTGTTTGGTTTTTATAAGTCTAATAGTTTTATATTCGACTTCTGAGTGGCATAAACTTTTACTTTTATACTTTTTCAGTTGCAGTACAACTGTGTGGTTTTCAGCTGTACATCAGTCTGTATTCTTGTAGAATTTGTAGTAGACAAATCTCACATTTTACTAGAGTAAAAATGATGTGGGTTTTTTAATAACTTGATTTTATTTTCATTTCTAATTTATTAATACAATTTCTACTGTACAATGCCAATGCATTTAGAAATAATATAACTACAGATATAAGACAATTTGAAAGTAAATGACTTTGTTTTGACATTATGAATCTCACACTTGCAATGTTTCCATTTTTTTTTAAAGTTTTCTAGTATATAGATATCTATGATACATCTTCTCACAGGCCATTTTTCAGATTTTTAGATGTTACTGTGAAGTACCCTTGAACATTATTTGGATAGGACTTTTATTTGAATATATGCAGATACTGATAAATGCCAAAAATCAGTACTTTGAAAATATTAACATCCTACATAGAAACAGAACTATGAATTGAGAAACGTAAATGCAAATAACTGCTCTACTTGGTTGCAAACTGCATCCAAGTTAAATCATGACATGTCTTATACGAGATATATATATCCCTTATGTTAAGCCTTACACAATTTTCTTTCTCACAGAAATTCTAAACAAAATTTTCAAACCTTTTGTGACAAAAAGGAGTTCATTTTTTTTAATCTCTGCAGTAAATTATTTGCTGAATTAATTAATTTTCCCTTGTGGTGGATGTTGTTATGCTTTGATTTGYTTTCAGTGCTGAAGTTCATTTAGAGCCCTATCCTGAAATGAAATCTCTTAAAGTCTCTTAAGATTTGATGGCAAACATGTTCGTAACTTGTTTTTGCACAAGTGGTTCCACTCACCTCAATGGACTCATACCTGAAGACAATATCTATGAACTGTTAGAGGGAGAAACCTTTAGACTATAAATATTTCAGTGCAATACCTTTTTCATATTTGTTTAGTACATCACCAGGCACACTGATATGTAAGCAAATACTTACCAGGTTGATCTGTGCACTTGTCTAGAGCTGCAGTGAGCTGTCACTCCACAGACTGCCAGACTAATTCAAAACCATGTGCATTCATGTCACAGCACCTAGGCATAAACCAAGCTTACCAATATGAGTCAATAACATTGTGTGGAAATCTCTTTTAATAACTGCATTATGACTTTCTGAATGGAAATGCAGAAGCTTTGGAGATGGAATAATGTGTACACAGGCAGTGCAGTTCAGTTAACAGCAGTTCAAAACATGCAGAGACTGTGAAGGCCTTAAAGMACTTCAAAATATCCATAAATATTAAGAGAATAGAAAATGCCTTTCTTATTAGGTGTCAAATTCCACTCCACWGGGAGAATTAGAAGCTTCCCTGTAGATAGGGGGTTCCTGACATGTTCTGTAAACAGCTTATAACTTTGTGAGCTAGCTAGTCTAATTTAATTTATGGAGGGCTTTCATGACCTATACTCTAGCTAGGTGACCTTTCCTTGTTGAAAAAGTTGAAACTGTGTACTATGTACACAATCTGTGCAATATGAACACAATATACAGAGTGTGTATCCATCATTGGTAGACTTTAGGTTATTTTTGACATAGTAAGGCATGCATAATGAACTCTCTATAATAATATTTTTATTAAATGTTATTGATAATGTCATGGCTACATAAGGTAATAGCCCTTACTGTGTATCTTGTTTAGATAGCTTTTTAYAACATAGACATCAACACATTAACACAGAGAAAAAAAGCTAATTAGAGCTATTTCATAGCTGGTCTGTGTTAAGACATTCAACCTTTAWCATTAGTCTAAACATTAGAAAAAGAACTTCTAAACTTATTCAAAGAATATTGCTCTCTTTTTCCTCCATGCCTGCGCCACATCTATTCTGAAGCTTTAAACTAAAGAGCACATATTTCTGTGTAGAAATTTTGTTACTATTTTGGAAGTGTGTGTTGTTTATAGTAAATGAAATATTTGTGGGGACTGTTAGTGTGGCATTAACTTCRGTGTCTAAAAGTCACCCCTTCAGCCAGTAGATAGAGTCACCTCAGGAAAAGCATTTATCCTGCATTGGAATAAGTATCTAAGGTGGACAGAATGAAATGCTCAYTGGAGGTGACTCTCTCTCTAGTGAAGTGGAACCTAAGGAATAGGTTGGGTCAGACACCTCACTTCCTGCTAATAAGATGGTGAGATGCGTTTCTGTATGTTCTGCATGTGGTGACAGTTCATCAAATACTTGAACAGTCTTTGGAGAAGGAATGGAAATTGGGCACCACTCTGCCAGATAAGATTTTTGAGCTGAACCATGCTTGCTTCCACAAATCTGATGCTAATATGTCCCATGTCTTTCATTAACCCCACAGTCACCAATCTACTGAGGCGAAATGGCTGTGCTAGAGGATCTGTCTTTCCAGTGTGTGCAAGTCCTGCTTGGAGTGCAGCTCTGACTGGGGGACTAGAGCAGGGGAACACTGGTTTTGGATATTATTGCATTAGCAGTGTTGGGAA